AACCAAACGATCAAGGAGTGGCTTGCGGCCAAAGGAGGTGACTGGGAAATGAACTTGCCAATGGTGTTGTTAGCTCATCGTGCTTCCATACAATCAACCACAGGCAAGTCCCCGTTTATGCTGATGTACGGTCGACATCTGCGCCTTCCGGTTGATCAGGAAATTGGGTTGTGGCCGGCAACACCCTTGTCTCTGGAGGAGCTAGAGGAAGAAAGAAGGAGAGCTCGCGAAAACTTGACCACCGTTCAGGAAAGGACTAGGCAGAAAACGGTAAGCAGAAAGGTACGAACGTTCCCCATAGGTTGGAAGGTCAAGTGGAAGGACCACCAGAATCCTGGAAGGAGTGGACTGGGGTCGCGGAAGCTAGGCAGTCAATGGCAAGGGCCGTTTGTCGTTACCGACCACCGGGGGAACGTCTATACCATTCAAGATGGTCGGGGATAGAAAATAGTGAATGGGACGCAGCTTCGCAAATGGCATGATACACCCGAAGAGCCGCCGAGTAGACCCGCTGCCAAAGCCGACCTGACGGAGGTAAATGAAAATTGATGGCATGCGAACGAGCTTTAAGGGGTGGTGTGTAACGGTGATACTACTGGTGGGGGGGCACGCGAGTAGTATGTGTTGTTCGTCGAATTTCGCTTTGCGTCTTTTGAAAAAGGGGAGATCTGTTGCGGAATTCGTGGAATCACTTTGTAACATTTGCTTGGATTTGACCGAGGAATGAGTGGAGTCAAGGAATCTCCAGGAAAGTTCAAGAAGATGCGTTCAGGGGAAGATGGGTGTCCAGTTTTTGTAAATAAGACGCAAATTAGAGTTTTGCTTCCCTGTTCAATGGTCTGTAACCGGTCAGTTGGTATTTCCTAATAAACAACTCCGCAGCGAAGGCCTTCTTCCTTTCATTTGGTGTCGTGACCAGGACCCGTCTCGGGGACCCCATCCAGGAATACAGCAATCACAAACGCGGCTGAGCTTGCCAGTTATGGCATTCACACTTGGTTGTCAATTCGTGCTGATCTCCCTCGGCTCGTTTCCACCCTTAAAGTGGTCGTACGAAAAGAACTCACCGAACAGGCTGATCACCTGACATTCGAATAATGTTGCTAACGTAGTGCAACTTGTGGACTGTCACCAGTGCACTTACCTCGTACGAGTCCGAAAGCCATTCGGATTATGTCAACACCATGCGTCCGGAGTTCCCATCATAGACCAAAGCAATGCCATTTAACAAGAACCAAGAGCTAATTGACGAGGAACATCTTTGCTGGAAGCAGGGTCAGATCGTAAAGGTGTGGTTTCGCCCCTCAAGCAGAGTTCCGCTCTGCTTGATTTTTAAGGGTCTAGTACACAGCCGGCCCCTTATGGTGTTCATGGTACTCGGGGTGCTGTTCCCTCGAGAGAAGAGCATAATAGAGGAAATTAGCATCCTTCGAAATGTGTCCCCGAAAGGAGAATCTTTCTTTCTGAGGGTTCCCTGTGGGCACTGCACACGAGGCATTGGACTTATATCTCCCTGATTCCCACATGCTAACAGCCAAGTTATTCCTCCACAGCCAGCTGGTTCGTGTCTGAGCTAGCCGCTTATCCGACAAAAAAACGTTTAAAAAGCACGGGTGCAGCCGATTACGCAATATGACCGAGTGACTGACCTATCTGTGACTGGATTTAACAAAAGTTTGTCAAATTCAGCTTGCGGATGCAACAGCCGCAGCAGATTGTATATAGTTATTTCAATCTACAAATGTCAGCGCCAAAATCTCAGGATTACTCATATTAGAGTATGTCTAATAGCAGTTACTGTAGCGTCACCGAGACACCATGGTCAAAAAGTTAGTCAAACAGCAGCCCAATGCGGAGTGACTCATACGTTAGTGAGGTTCAAACAACGGTTCGACGTTTTTTTCGAAGTTTCCATACCATCGTGACCTGAACAGGTAAAACTGTGGTACAGTTCTTTGGTATGGATTTGTGCCCGTCTAAAATGGTCCTGGCGCAAATGCTATCCCTCAACAGAGGACCCACTCAACAGTGACCTCTTACATTAGGTTTGGTGGATGGGTTGTGTTGGAAGAAGACCATCATCATTATCATCGACAGCATGAAATCAGTGTTCAACACCGATGCTTCACTGCCGTATGGAAGACCGCGTGTAGAGGAGAATCGTACATGCTCAGCAGCTACCTCACGTAGTAATGAAAGAAGTAAACCTAGTCTAGTAATTACCTATTCTACCCCATCAAGAACAAAGTAAACAATGTTCCTGCAATATGAACAAGCTACGACGAACAATTATGGTGGCAAGTCAGCTAAAGTCTAAATCATCATCATCATCATCGAGAGCATGACATCAGTGTTCAACACCGATGCTTCACTGCCGTACATTCAGACTAAAGTCTAAATAATCTAAAAAACACAAAAACCATTTAAAATACAATCTCTCCGCCATATCGACTCACTTTTCTCATTGTTTCGTTGGTCAGGACTTTATCTGCGCTTTTGTGGGTCCGGCGCCGCTCGAGTACGCGTTCAATGGATTCCGATGCATACTGATACAGACCGTCCGCTTTGGTAAACACGATTAGGACGATGTCACATCCACACAATATGCTCAGTTCATACGCCTTTTTGAAAAGACCTTGCTTCCTCTTGGAAAATGTGACCTGGGTAAGATAATGAGCTGCTGCTATTTGGTGCTACTTACCAAGCAAGACTTCTCGTCTGCTATTTTCTGGATTTGTATCTTTTTCCGACCCATGAAAAAATGACGCAGATACACGTGCCTATATCTGAGAACAAAAAATGAAACGCAGTCTTAATGGACCTTTTCAGAAACTGAAGAAATACGGGCGAGACAAGTGACGCGCGAGATGAATCCGGCCAGTGAAGGAGAGGGTTTCACTACCAACAATCAACAGATCCGTTATCTTTACATGTCGGGACAAATCGACTCCCACATTTCAAGCAGGAGGGTGGAAAAATGAAGTAAGCAGACCAATCATCCAGGGAGATGACAAGAGCCATCGCAGCTGAATTCACTGGCAACGGCTTCATACTTTGCTGTAAAGTTAGTGCTTGACCTCCTTTGGCTCGTTTTCACCCTTAGTGTTGTCGCGCAAAAAGGGCTTTCCGAGGAATTCGGTAGACTGGCGACCTATGGAGTGTGATTAGTTCGTCTATCGTGAACGAGTTATTTCCTCCGAAAACCATCTGATGTACTATCAATCCGGTGTTCCCATCAGACTCAGACAATGCTCTGAAGACACCGATGGTCAAACACTAAAAGGACTCAGCGCACAGGAGCCAGGATTCTGGTCCATATGACTAGGCCCTTGAGAGATAAACTGATTTCACGTTTGCGTCACAAAAGCTATTCTTGTCTTCCCAATCCGGGTGGCTAGACCACCGGGACCGATCCAGGTAGACTTCAATCGGCTCATTCAAAAGCATGAGGTTCGGGTTCAAGCATATCCCGTCTTGTAGCAGCACTTTACACCTTGCAGACGCGATGCGAACGCCGAACATTGGGACGGAATTAATCAAATTGTTCAATATCGTCTGGATTACGATGGCGACGCATCCTAGAAGAGTTATGTTGCTGTATACTCAGTACATGTAAGCGGATGTACTGGGGGCATTTCGATTCCACAGACATTAGTGGCTGGGAGTGATTCCTTTATGATCATACCGGTGATGGAGTCTAAGATAATGAACTAGGGGTTCTCCGCCTTATTTGAAGAGGGATGAATACAGAACACCCGGTCCTGGAGCCTTCTCATACTTCAGCAAGGATATTTCGTACTTTGTTTTTTTCTGCTTAGGGTTTGCATTCCATTCATCCGCCCGCACTGTCTCCAGCGGTTGTACTGAAATAGGTCAGCCCTAAGTGTCTGACTCATCTTCCCAATTGGTTTTGCGGGTGAACTATTGAATAATAATGATAAAAATAATAATTATAATAATAATCGTTTACCTAGGCTGAATTACTGAGCAGTCCTTTCATTAATCATTAAACTGATCATTGCCCTCCTTTGACCAGTCAGTCGTATTAATTGGTATAGAGCGGCGGCAAAAACCCTATCTTCCGAGCTTTCGTTGTTCAACGAGGCTCCGGGTTTTACCTCCACCACTTGGCATTTGAGGGATTTGTATGCAACATCGCACTCCTTGCCTGCTAGTGCAGATTTCCTAGCATCCATCAAAACTAGGGATCTCGACGATACACAGAGGTCATTGGATCGTATGGATGAAGTCAGACATAGGACTGAACGCCTCTGGCATAGTTCAAGTTACATTTTATTATGCTTCATTCACGTACCCGTTACCTGTACGGTGTTGTTTTGCTGCAGAGTAGGTGAGTCGGCTCTGGTCGATACTGTTAAGCTATGGCAGCTCTCGGAAGATGGTGGATTGACAAACTTTCTGCTGACTTGAGAGACCCTGATGGAAAGCGAATTGTCAGGCACGCTCGCACCAAGGCGTGACCGGAATCAAGTCGTGGGCCACAGAATAAACGCAGTCTTAAATTGTAGCTCTCCACCGGAGGTCGACTGTCACGTGATCCAATCTTGTCTACAACTTGTTGGCAATGGGTGCCCACCAGGTTACTCGGTGCTGTGTGTTGAAAGTCTGTGCTGGTTAGAGACAGTTGATGATCAGTACACAACTGAATTAGCCGCACTCGCTTTTTTGTGCGACCATAATCGGCACAGAATCGAGCGACAAGATGTGATTCTAAGAAGCTCAAACGACCGACTTGGACATTCTTAAAAAAAATCGTTCAGCTTCAACACCCTTCCTAGCTGCTACGCCATCCAAAAGAAGCACGAGGGCTGGGATACTGTCAGGTTGGCCGAGCCTAGACAGGGGGATTCGAGAGGCAGAGATCGGGTTCGGAACTCGGACCTTCCGGGCAGTAAATCCACTCTCTAACCACTGAGCCATCTTGCATTTATACCGCCTGCAAGGACCACGTTAGTGCTCCTGGCTTGAGGAATGAGCCCGAATAAACCTTGATAGAAAGCATTCATCTCAGCAATCCAGCTGAAGTCTGTTGGGACATACCGACACTACAAAGAGGAACCGTTTTCTGTGTTTAGTAACACTGATGTGAGGCACCTTCAAGTCTCTGACCACCGATGACACAGGAGCGTTGGCAGTTCTGGATGCCATCAACTGATTAGTAACGAGGTGATTAGAAAACGGGTATCTGGTTGCGTAGCAGGTATTTCAAGCGCGGACCAATCATGTGCTGCACATGCCGAAACACGGTCTACCGAGAGAAGTGCTGTTCCCTGCGCCTCCTTCAGAATAGTGCAAACCGTGAACTGAACAACGTACGACTTGGCAGAGGGACAAGAAAGAGTTTAAGAAGAGTTTGGTTGTTGTTTTTGTACGCCTTCCAGGATGGAGTCCCCGTGACCTTTCCTGTGCTTGACTGAAGACATTGGAAGAAATGATCGATGTCATTGAAGTTCGTGCTGTCGTTCTTTTTCTTTCCAGGGTATCCGACTGAGCGCTTAGGTGCGGGCACCTCAGAATGTTTGGCACATGCCAGCACTAGGTCCCCTTCCTCACCCATTCCTCTTCTTTCTACTCTGACACTTTAAATATGACTAGAGAAACCTTATGGTTGTACGGCAGTGAAGCGTCAGTGTCAACACCGATGTTGCCCTTATCATGGTGATGATGAATATTGAGCACGATTGAGCGGTACATAGATGACTGTTCACTGGAATCAAATCTAGCAAAGCGCATTCAGCTCTGGGACGGCGTGCAACCCCCACACCATGTATTCCAAGAGTCATTGCTTCTGGATCACCAAACATACGTAGAAAGAAATGTGAGAGTATAGTTCGTTCCTGGCGCCTTAGGATGCACGACCACGCTTGAGTCTTGTATGCCTGTGCCCATTTGACATACAGTGCGGACATTGAAAGTTCCTATATATAAAGGATCTCTTGTCTTTAGCGAAGTATCGTTTTGCTTGTTGTTACGACCAGCGGAGTTTATAAGGCACATGGGAAAGATAACTGTCAGTCAAATGACTCAACAACGTTTGGTTGTGGTAGGAAGGGATTGGAGAGGGAGAATGGTGGGCAAGAACTGTGCCCGTAAATGGCAGCCTTCCAGGTGTCTAGGCCGAGGGAGAGGGTTATGTTACAGTGCCCCACCAAAAGCGTGACTCACAAGGCAGAAGGGGGACGCAGGGTCTTGTTCGGGAACTCTCATCCCATCCTCTAACTTAAAATCCTGGTCAACGGAGCAGCGGGCATTATGGTTTTCTCGGGTGAACCTGCCCAGGGTCAACGACTGCTGCTCGGCTGCAGGTGGTGGGGTAACCCGAGGGCTTGCAAGGGATTACTGTCTCACTCCTAGTGCGGCTGCGCACAACAGGTGTCATTGGAGCAGCCCCGGACTCTGATTTCTACCGTATTAAATAATTCGCCTGAGGTCACGATCAACCGTTGGACGATTGGCGTGGCCTTTGCGGCTGACTTTTTCTAACATATCCTTCTTGAGAAAAAGGCAACATCGCTGCTTCCATCAAAATGGACATTTCTACTTAAGAAAACACCTTGGTGACTTCACAATCCCATCGAAGAGGGCAGTACGACCTTATCTCCAGATCACCTCATATTATGATTACTCGTAGTATGAGTCTCGCGGCTTCTGGTCTGACTGCTACTGTGTGGCCTTCCTGACATGGTTGCATCTTGTAGAACGAAGTTACAGCCAGTGTAGGCCGCGGAAACATTGCAGCACTCAAGCCCAACCACCAAGGCAATCACCAAGGTCAAGGATTTATATGTCTGTCCCAACGTTAGTCTGTCAGGCGAACATTCAAAAATAACCCTATGTACGAATTGTCAGCCAATCGAATTGGAGAGAAACTTGTGACAGGTAGGCTAATCAATCTTATGGGCGATTACATCTCTACATGTGGAAATGTAATTAACGTTGCTGTCCGTGGAAGAACAACCGCGAAACTCGTCACTCCAAGCTTCCGGGTTGCGTTTCCAGGCTGTCAATTATCTGTCAAACATGAGCATGCAGACAAACGGAATACCCGATATTCCCGGAGTTCCGAAGTCCCCCTCTTCATTATCCGTGGTCCGGATAGAAACCCTAAATTAGTTCATCACCTATTATGCTGGTGTGACCCATATGCTCTGTATCACGCACAGACCCAACCTTACGGTATCTGCGACCTCACCCACTTGAATTTTCCTGGTTGTTCCCTTCACTAGTGCTTCCCTTCCAAATGAGATATTTGGGCCTATATCGGTTCCTCCCTTTCTGTCCGTTTATCTATCTTGGTAAGTGTACACCAGATTTCGGATTTAAGTAGTGCAACTTCGTATTTTCAGGTGCAGCCAAATATTTTCGCTGTCTGTCGGTCCCCCGATTGCACTGATGTACCTCACTGCCCTCCTTATTGTATATGGCCCTGGATGAACTACAAACTGACCCGAGGCAGAATGTCTCGCGATTACCAATGTCCCAACTGAAAGATGGACGCCGCGACACTGTCCCACGAGGTACCCTCGATCTGGTCTAACTACATGTCCCGATTCAGATACTATTAAGCCATCTGCCGCCTAGCTTTCTCCAATCACCGATCCACTACTTGTCCCCTCATGTTAATTCACCGTAACCACCCCTCCAGCTCATCTTACCATCTGACGCTACTCCTCAGCATGTTACAAAGGAAGCGCCTATTCTTCACTACCTGAAAATGTATATTTAAGATGACGC